TTGCACCAACCCAATACATGAATCTGTGGGAAATCTCCGAGCCTTAGTCGAAGTTCGGCGCCCCGTGATACGAAAAGCAAGTTCGTATACTACGGCCTTTAAAATGTGATTGGTCCGGTTCGTTTGATCCATAAACTCTTGTCGTCTTCCGGTCTGTCGTTGCCCATCTTCTGTAGCTCGCGTTGGTATTGGTTTATTCTGTCTCGTGTCTCTTCTGCACTGCTTTAGACGAGTAACTTCGTCTGGCATGGACATATGACCGCAAAGTGGTCATAGACCGTTCCTTCCGCTCTTCTTGCGGCATAAACACAGAGCTGGATTCTAGTAGGCGCTTGAGTGACCCTTTCAGCAGCGATGACATCTTCCTGCTCAGACAATCGCTGCCGTAGCTCCGGAGGTCAGTCGAAATCTGGCAGAGCTGCGGAGGGTCCAATTGACCATTGAGAGTGGGGCGAGGGGGCGGTCCCTCTCTGTAACGTCACGGTGACGTCACAAGAAGGCAGATGGGACTCCTCCGGCGAGCTTGCAAATCTCTGCTCCGGAGGTACGCCAGATTTGGGAGGGCCCCGGAGCACAGATTTGCGCTCCGGAGGTACGCCAGATTTGGGACACCTCCGGAGCAGAAAATGGGAGGGCTCTGGAGTACAAATGGGAGGTCTCCGGAGCAGAAAATGGGAGGGCTCCGGAGCACAAAATGGGAGGGCTCCGGAGCACGAGTGGCAAACTTCCGCTGGGCACACCCCGCGGCCCTGCCATTTCTGCTCCGGAGGTATGCCGTCGACTGTCTGAGTGAGCTGTCCGATACGGCGACTCGTCTGTGATTGAACTCATTTGGACTCGCATCAGAATGGTGTTTCCGTGTTCCTTACAAGAGATGCACATGAACAGGCCGACCCTCAACTCCTGCGAGTTGTCGTTCTGCGCAAACAAGTGCAACCTCACTTATTCTTCTCAGCCCCTCCTGACACTCGGCAATCATTTTGTCAAAATGGTACCGTTCTTCGCCGAAGGTGGGGGTTTCTGCTCTGGGCGTTTCTGTTTTTCTGAGTGAATGCTGTGTTCCCGATCTGACCATATCTTGCTCTACAACCAGCGCCCGGCATGAGTCCGTTTCTAGCCTTTCTGAAGACGAAGTCCCCCTTGACTTCTGCAAAAGTTTACGAAGTTCCCTTCGACCCTCTTCGGGAACATCGACTAAAAAACTCAACCCAACTCGTGATTTTTCGGACCCACAAAAGCGATACTTCTTTGCTTTTTCGCCTCAAAAACGAAGTCCAAGCTTCCAAACGGTCTTCGAGCCCTGTCTACAACCGGCGCTAGGACTGAGGCATTCTTGCGCTGTATCTCGCACTTGCTGAAGTGATTTGGGCCTAATTCGTCTTCTTTGCTCTGAGTAATAGTGGTGAAAGCAGAGCCATTAAAGGCGGAAAATAGGACAAACGAGATTTTGGCTTGCTTCTATCCATAATCTGGATATCTTTTGGAGCAAAATTTCTGAGGTGGCCAAAGAAGGAGTAGTGCATTGTATTGTGTGCAAAAAGAGATGCTAATTTACTTTTGAATTGTTACTCATGCTGAACAACACCATGCATAATCACTACTACGCAAAGTTTCAGTAGATTCAAAAATTCTGAACTCTTACCGTACACCTACCGCACGCTCACGACGAAGACTCACTATCCGAAACGTGCACAATTTTCGAAATCATCATGTTAAACTATCTCTATGCTTTTGAGAGTCATTGACTGCGTCTCTCTCTTTTTCAATGTATAAAAGACGTCACCTACAGACATAATTACATTTTGAAGGTAAAGTGAATCAAGCTTCTTGCTATGAGCAAAGTATCATTCTTTCTTGACCTATGCTACGAAGCTTCCAGTCGACAAATGGTGGTTCCCAAAAGTGTTGCCAAGTCCGACAATCGAGATTTTACCGTAAGCGCTTTCATTCTCTAGATCACTACAAAGTGAAAACAAGGCAAAGTTAGGATTTACAAGACCTGTGCTTGTAAAGATAAAACCATTCAGGCTAGAAATCCTTCCCAAACACTCCGAACCTGCGCCGTGATCGTAACACTTAGGATGGGTCCCAGCGCGAACGTAGTGTTGAAGTGAGCGAACGAAGTTGTTCTTGGGGGTCACGGCGCAGGCGTGGGGTTTTTGGGGACGATTTCTCATCCGTGAATGAACCATTTGCCGTGCAGCTTGGGCAGTGCGCTAGTTAGGACTCTCTCATCTGTTTCTAGGCAAAACCCCATGGGCCCAGCGCTGCCTTCAAGGGGTGCTGAAATGGTAACGGCTGGTAATGGCTTTTGTAGCATATTGTAGGGCTGACTTCAACTTATATTCACGGTACAACAATCGCCTATCCCTCTCCATTTCTTCAGAACTACGGTAAGAACGTTCGAGAGTTTCGGGACAATGAGAGCCAATCTTGCCCCAAAAAGAATAGAAAGAAAGTGAAAAAAAATGTAATGAGGTTTATAGGTCTTGCTTATTCCATATATGAGTTTCGTTCACCAAAATCCCTAGTGCAAACGTTGCAACGTTTATACCAAGCGCATCATTAAAAACTTGATTGCACCAACTGAAGTGCCGCGCAAACAGATACAACGTTATCTACTGGTGTGGTCTAAGTACATAATATCTGCTCCAAGACGAGGGCGGTCCCCAAATAGGTTGAAAACATGCAAAGCTGCGGCGCGCGCGCAATTGTCAACCACAGGGCGCGCGCATGCTCGGTCAGCGGTCATTCACGCGAGCGTGCGCGCGACCCGTGGTTGACAATTGCCCGCGCGCCGCGTGCGCGTCAGCCTTGCATGCTCTCAACCTATTTGGGCGACCGCCTTCGTCATGGAGGAGATATTACACAAAACTTCTCAGAAGTTCTGAAATTTTTGTGGAGGGCAGTTGATTTGCATTGACGACATTTTGCTGTAATGAAGAGCGATGGGTGATTCGTTTTGTATCTAAAGCTAAGCTGAAGCCAGCAGTACCTAAGCTAAAAGTCCGAGAAGGCAGACGATACACATCGTAAAGTGACGGGCGTAGATCTTAGTGCACATAACAACACATCCATGACAATAATACGACCCATCGGTGGGTCGCATGTTTTTTGAAAACCTGTCTCTTGCGTTCAAGACAAAAGTTCATGGATTTTCGGCACAGGTTTGAATACAATCTAGTAAGTCTTATATTTGAAGTTGCAATAAAACGTTCTGGTCCGAAATGACAGGTATCGAAAAAATGACCCTGTCATGGCATTAAGTGGTAACTCAACTGTGTTTGCGCCCGCTCATGTGGCGGAAACTTCCTGCGCTACAGATGCGCGCTTCCACGCGTATATTTGATTAATCCAGTTGAAGTTGTACACTCCCAAAAAAACGGATTAGCACCACACCCGCGTGCCGTATGTTCACGTATCGCTTCCACTAAAGGCCTACAGGGAAAAACTGGGTAATTTGGGATTTCACTGAATTGTGGAAGTCGATGTTCTAGGTCCGCCATCGCACAAGGCTCTACTGCCCCAAGGTCCTGACATTCTTCGTTAAATCGGCTTCACTCTACCCAACATATACATTTGCTTCCGAGAAACCTTAGCATTTAGCGTGAACGACACTTTTCGGTGGAGGAAATTGAATGGTAACGAATTGTGCGAGAACTTTCACACTGATGTTGGTTGTCATAACGACTAAAAATTTTCTGCTCTTGTGCAATGCAACATAAAAGACAAAAGGAAATATGTTTAGAGTAGAATCTTCTGTGCAAGTACTTCATATAAAGCTCTTTGAAGGCCTTGACTGGAAAGAAAAAATTGGTCAAAATAAATGGCACAACATGTGTCTAAATAATGCAAGCCATAAATACCCAGTTCTTTGGCCAGGCCTACTTTATGAAATTTTGACTCCACGTTCTTTTATATTCACTTTCATCATCGTTATGTCCGCTCTTTGTACAAAAGAAAGCTCCTGATTCGCATTTCTCTTAGCCCAAATCCTGATTACCTCAACTCCCGAAGGAAAACACTCATTAGGTTATGCTTTCATTAGCTGAAACCCATGCAAGGAGCACTTGTAATCTTTCTTTAATCTTTTCGCTACTCCCTGGGGAAAGTACAGTATCTCTGCATTATATGGGAAATCACATCTCGATGAGACTGATATAGTGAGATTCCTGTTCCAGATTCTTCCAAAACATTCTTTCTGCTTGATCAATATCAGTTTGTAAGCCAAAAAATGCTTCATAGCAAAAAATAAAACCTTTTAGTTGAGTGCTGCTTGTGTTTTTAACTTATTCAGTTCGAGAAGAGTGAAGAGATGGGTCATCTCGTAGTAATGCGTGAATATCGCACTAGATTTATATGTCGACTATCTATCTGTCTTCCTGCACGCCACCATCTTTGCATTTATTAGCGATGTCGCTGATTTGCAGGGCATTTGTCTTCTAATGCTCGCAATAATCATACACACATCACACTCCTGTCCATCTTTCCTTCTTTGCGCAGGAATAACAGAGGAGACATCGAATGAAGAAAACTAAGTAAATATGAACGCTTAGATAAGATCTAAGAAGCTCTTGAACATTTTCAAAGCTGCCAAATGAGATAGCTGATAATCGCCTTTCAAGTATAGTAATTCCAATAACAAAAGCGCCAGCTTTTCTTCTGCTTTTTACGTTGTCCTCCCAAAAGCACCCTTGCCCCGCCTTCTAAATGCCATTACCCTTGATTCAGGTTAAACATTTTGGGATAAACGCTTCAATTCTGTACGATGAAACATCAATGCACCGGAACATGTAATTCCAGCAGATATGGTCAAGCAGAAGGAATCCTAGTGAGAATGACAAATGCATATAATGTATGAAAAGTGATACCACTGAACGGAGATCGAATATCTGTTGCGAATTTTCACAGCATGTTAATATGAAACTGAAAAAAAACTTAGCAATTATACAAGTACTGAAGAGTGTTTTGATGATTGGATGAAACAGAAGCAATGGCGGTCATTCTTTGCGACTAAGGTTGAGTATCTCGTCGTTGAACGACTCGCAGCTCTCCGCATCGCGCACGCTGGAACTGAAGCCGAAGTGTTGCGGAGTAGCTCTGAAAGTTCAGCATTTAATATCTGAATTACGACGAAGATGATTACGTGAGTACCTGAACACAGTTAGTTTGTCGTCTGATGTATCTTGCGCAGTATTCGGCTTGCTCTGCACGAATGAAGGGATGTCGTAAGTGCTTATTACACCTGCAAAGTTGCGATAACGATACTCCCGCTTTTGAAGATTTCATTGATATTCACTGGGAGCGCGACCAGCGAAAATATGTGGAGTCGTCTCAATTACCCCACACCCATAGTCCAGATGCCATTTCGCGTGGCGGATAATTGAGTGACATCCCGGTTGTCGCAAAGAGCATTGTTGCACTAAATTGGATTCGCCGTACCCGGCTTATGACTGGATTAGCCTTGTAGCCAGTGTTTTAAGGAGCAATCGGAAATGGTAATGTTAACTCAGTGCGCTCCCACAAGTCCTACCTAGAATCTGCGCATAAGTCTTTGACGAAGGCGAAATAGTACCCGCGAGGGCATTTTAATCTTTCAAAAGATGCAATGATGGCTCTTTGATGGCAAATGCAAAAGACGATTCGGATGGTTTTGAAATCAAAGGCGAAAGCGCAATGCATCAACTGTCATCCCTGCCGACTCTCTCACTGAGACACAACTGTTAGATTTGCGAGTTCGTAATTTGACCCATATCCTTGTTCACAAGATTGGGTACTCAAAAAGAAGTGCTTGCTTTTTGCATGCAACGTACAACGTTCGGCATATATGAAACCGCTTGAATCTAACAAAGAAGTGGTTATTGGAAGGAGAATTGGTCATCGCATCCAGTCAATCCCCGTTGTTTCAGTGCACAGCTGGCGAATGCTTCTCCTAATAATCAGAAGAGTATGGAGAACATTTTGTGTCAGCTGTCTACCGTAAGATCTATATAAAAAGCACTTCAAAATAAACTATAAAGGCAAGGCTTCAAGTACTAAGCGTTTTTTTTTTTCAGAAAGTAAGCTTTACGTCACATTGCAAAGAATTCGTTAGGTTTAGCAAGCTGCTCAGATTTTGATTTCAAGAGCTTCTGTATGACTACCCTGTCTTCAAAGCGCCCGATTCGAAGAGAGAGGCAGCAAGAGTGAGGTTTAGTGAGATCTGTGTACATTCACTGTATTACGGTTATAACGACGATGCGCACATGTTCACACGTGGAAGCTGCCTTGATCATTTCCCAAGAGTTTCAGTCTTTGTCCATTACATAATATAATCACCACTTGGGTATGCTCGAGTAAATGAGATTATTCATTTTGGCCCAATACTGCGCTGACATTGGATGGAAGCTGCATTCTAATTGACAGGGTCGTCAAAGTTAATGGGATATTAATGACTCACTGTCGATATCCTCGAGCTGGCCGGGGTGATGTGTTTCCCTGTGCCGCCTCCGATCCACCTTTCTTTGAAATGTTCGGCCACATACGTCACAGGCGAACGGCTTGAATGTGGACAGTCAGTAAATTACGAATGCTTGCACACTGCGCTTCTCGCGATTCAAACATGGCCAGCGCTAAGCTTCACTTACATGCCTTTAATGATATGCACGTGAAGAATACTCATTACAGTGACGGATTCAAGAACGAACAATGGCATATGCGCAGAAATAATACATTCCGTCTTATGTGCCACGAACCTTAAATCCAGTGTGTTTCCTTGTGTGCGTAATTAGATTCGACGACTGACTGAACGCCTTTCCGCAAACTGTGCACTTATGAGGTTTTTCGCCTAGAAGCAATGGTCATCATTTCAATTTTCTTCGTTTCCTGTCAAAGGAAGGATTGCTTGAGGAAATGATTACATGAGAAGTCTGTGTCTTGATAGACCCCTTCACGCCTGTTTCTATCACATTGCAATTACACAGGGAAAATCTAATTTATTTTCGGAATGTCAAATAATCGTGCTAATTGCCTATCTGGGCTAAGATGGATAACTTGGCAATACGAGCAGATTCAGCGTTTTGACGTCGTCAGTAAATCACTTATTGACTTCGTATATACGGGATGATAGTCTTGAATCTTAGAGAATACAAAGAAAAAGTTTTTTGAGAACAAGGAACTCAAAAAAAACCGCGGTGGCAAGATATAGGGACCGAGCAAAGCTCAAGAAATGTTACCTGTATGAATGTAAGTGTGCTTCTTCATGTCGCTTTTTTGATGGAAACGTTTCCCGCAGTATTCGCAAGGGTAAGGGCGGGTGTCGGAGTGGATGAGCAGGTGCGTCGAAAGGGTAGAAGACCTCAAATGCTTATTTATGAGGTGACAGATTATCACCAAGTAGCGGCTTACCTCTTGAATGTTTTACCGCACTGCTTACATTCAAACTGCTTATCAGTGGAGTGAATGGCCTGGTGCTGCTGAAGTGAAAGTTAGAGGGGACTCAATTAGGAAAAGTAGTTTGAGAAAAAGCTAACTTCCAATGCAGAACTCGAGGAGAAAAGTTTCGTGCAGCGAAAACAAGGAAAAACGTTTTCTGTCGATGGAGAGGGACCTTCTGAGAAAAACGTGGAGTTCTTCAGTACGCTTTCCTCTAAACCAAGCAACGATTATGAGCGAACACTACATTGACTAATAAATGTTCTGATCAATCTTTGCACCTTGTTTTGGCGAAATCCGCTGAGGCGATGACAGAAGATTAAGAGCTACTTGTCTAAACTGACTCTGCCAGAAAGGCTGCATTGCGCCGAATCCGCCACTCAACACGCCGAAGTTCGAACCCAAGTTAGGAAATAACGGTGGACATTGCTCAGCAAACCTCATCGGTAAAAGCGCTGAAATGCATAGATAAACCATTTCTTGTGAAAATCTCATTATCGTCAACCTCGTCCACAATAATATGTGTTTTTCTTCATTTCCATGTTCGCGCAATCCCCGCGACCACTAATTAAATCACGCGTCTACAGCTCGCCAGCATACGATATGTCAGCGCGGCAACCTTATTTTCTTCTCGCCACGCCTACAAATCACGACTACGGTAGAGCACGCGTTGAATACTAAAGAAATGGTGCGAAATCACGCAATATATGCATAGATGTGATCGGAATGAAAAATGCATCAGATGTGAAACATGGGCAGGGGACATTAGACTTGAAGTTCATTAGAGATTACGTTTATAATTTGGTCAGCATTTGAGACGTATGAAGTTTTACTTAATCATCATCAAATTTTTGTTTTGTTATTAATAATGCCCCAAATTACTGATAAACTCAGAAGACAAGCCAAGTAAATCCGAAATTATCTACGAACACCTCAAGCAGTTGCTATTTCGCTAATCTTTATGAAAAAATACTGTATGGTAAATGTATCTGAAAGAAACCAACTTCTTGAGATCGTGCCACTTACCTTGTTGCATGAGGGCTAATTTCTGCTGAAAAGCTAGAGCTGCACCTAATCGGCGCCATTCTAGTAGTTCCCTATCACTGATAGATTTCGGCGGAGATTCGACAATCGACACCGTTTCCTCTTTGTCAGCTAACAAATTCGCCACAGAATAGACACCGTTCAGTGGCTCAGGAACTGCGTCCATAACTGAAATCATTGCTCTAGACTTTAACTTGTAGTGGAATCGGAAAAAAAATTTTGGTTCTTCCAGAAATATGACAGCAAAGAACATTAGCAATAAATTTGGTTCCCAATGTCGGAAAAAAATGAAAGTGCGGTGACTTTTCAACCTCATATTATAAAGTAAGCTAAACGTAAATCGTAGTTACGTTTACTGAAAACGTCTAAGTATATTTCACTGCGAATCAAAGCGACAATGGAGCAGTGCACTCATTCATTGTTATACGCAATGGTTAACACGCGTACAAAAACTTTCTTCGGGAGCTCCACTTGATTACAACTTTGTTAAAACAAACGCTGGATTCATCACGGTATCACCTGCGCAAAGAAGGTTTGCAGATACTGCTAATTTCAAAGAGAAGTACCACTGCGCAGAGAACGTTTGCAAATACCGCAAATTTCAAGGGGATTTGTGACAGACTTTAAACAAGTTAAGATTGTTGTATTACTTGCACCCAAATGTTTCCATAATAGAGAATCACGGAGCACCTGCAAGATAGGTATAGGCCACTTTAAAAGTAACTATCGCATCACTTACAAGCCCATCTCATCTTAGCAATTTTGCACGCTTTTTGTTGCACGAATTTTGGCTAATAGAATCAAATCGCACGTGACTAAGTTTGTGCTAGGGCTACCCGCACTTAGGAATTGTTGAAATCAGTGACAGAGTGTGACCGGGCAAGAGAATGAAAAAGTGAAGTAAGACATGATTGAGATGCCGGTAATGATATGCAGTGGGGGTATCGACAGGAGAGACTGATTGTGATTGGTTGCCGCAAAGCTGGCGGTCCCTCCCCCGGTGGCGGGCGCCGGCCGGCCGCTCGCCTCAGCCTACTCCCTCATCGCCGCCCATCTCCCTCACCTTTGCTCACATCCAAATTAAAACGCACACCGCATACTGCTCGACATGTTCATGCTTCGTGCATTATTCACAACTTTGACTGAATGAATCGTCCCATGAAACAGCGACGACGTCAGCGTGCAGCCGGCCATGCCCTCGGCCGCCAGTGCTCAGTTCCTGATTGCACTCATCAAGTCTGTACAGAATATCTGACAGCGTGCAACTCATGGCAGAGAGTCGCAAAGGGCGAACGTCGATTGACAGCGGACAAGGCCCATCGCAAAAAATACTCTGGAAATGCTCGAACCTCGTAATGACATAAGTAGCTTATCACTACTCATCCTGCGCTTGTTTTCAATGCGATTTTCCAGTCCGAGACTCAGGTCTCAATGAGGATGACCGGTCAAATGTGAGCACCATGGCGGTCGTCAGATAGCAATCGACTACAAGAATCGTTTTTGTTTGTCAACAAAATCATGGGAAAAGCTTTGTCCTTCAGAAGAGAGTGCCAAAAAATGAGGAGTAAACCACATTTGCCCGCCATAGAAGAGAATGCATCTCATAATTAATCTGATAGCTCTGTGTAGAAAAACAAAGTTTCGAATAATCAGTTCTGCAATGAATGAGGCTGGAAGCATGGCAAGGAATCTAGAAACCATTTCAGAATGACGAATTGTTACAAATATCGGAATTTTTTGCTTGTGCTCCAAAGAGTTCAGAAAAAAACTTAGACCAAGATATACATCATCAAGTCAATGCCAACAAACATAAGCACTGAAACGTTTCTTGTAAAAGCAGTGCCCATGTATTCGAGGAGAGATTCAATTCTCTGTAGAAAGCAAGATGCTCATGCGACCAGCATTCATATCATTACGTATGCAAAGTTAGGACTTGCCTCCCAATCCGGCATACAAATTCAAAACGAACAATGATTGGAGAATGAGCGACTCTTCAACGATTAAGTCAAGCACTGAATGAAGGCTAAGGTTTGTAATAGTAGTCACTGCAGTCTCAATAAATAGCTACCGTAAGCTTCTCTTTCTTCGCATTCTGGACGAGTTAGATGAACGTTAGAGGCGCATCATCCCATGCATATTCAAGCATTCGACAATTTGTTTCAATCAACGTTTCGTTAAAAATGCATACCGCTTGGTGGATGCGTAATTGTTACGAATATTCAACGCTAATAACTAGGTGCTCCCTCCCATTCATGCGTCCATATAGCTCCCGTAGTCGATGGAACTGCTGAACCAGAGAGGATATCGCACTTAACAGATGGGCAAGGGCGGCAAAGATTGTGAAAATAATCAAGTGAAACGAAGGATAACCGGATGCGTATAGGCAACTCTGCACTTTCGGGTATACGGTATTTATAGATTTGTTTTGGCGCAGCCGTCTATGTACGTTGCATCAAGCACGTCTCCCGCAGTTATTAAATATGAGGGATGTGAAGATTGGAATTGGATTTCAGTGACATCGAGGTGTGGTTATTTGAGAGGTATACTGTGGAAGTGCTGTGTGAAATAGCAGCTGGCGAGAAGCAGTGGTATCAACGCAGAGTACTGGGAAGATGCGCAATCAGAACAAGTCATTCCGCTGATTGTTCGCCTGCCGGGCCAGCCTCCTGCCAGCCCCATTATCGCGCTGGTTTGTTTCTCGAATTACCGTAGACCACTCCATATCTGGCTCCTATATGTTTATCCATTACTTTGATTGCATCGTAAGCACCTGGCCGAAATCGAAGGAGCGCAGCTCGAAACAAACAATCGTTTTGCATGGGATATGAGCTAATCCTGCTCGGATTCCTGCACTGCTCTCACTCTCGCCTCGCTTAACATGCAAAAGCAATGAAATCGCCGGGCGAAGCGAGCAACGAAGAGGCAGTGAGAATATGGAGCGAGAGTTCGGAGAGGTGCTCATAAAATCGTCAGCATCCATGAAAACACTGTCAATCAGTCACCATACGACGCTTAATATGAATCCCCGTCGTAAAACATCGCGTGCGCTCCCAAATTGCCTCACCGACCCCATGAAGCTTTCGACTACTTATCTGCCACATATCTTCCTCGATCTTATGAAGCGCAAAATGCTCCTGGAAGAAACCGAAAAAAAAGGAAAGTGTTTGATAACTTTGTAGATACTCACAAGTGTCTATTCAATATTTAGTTCCCTTTCCTCCGAAGAAAGAAATCAAAGATGCGAACTAATACGCTCGTTCGAGCCTCATTGAATGCATAAATAAAAATCAAATAAATGAGTAAATAAATAAATGAATAAACAAATATATAAGGCAGGTAGCTTACTTCTCAGAAAACTTCCATAGCCGTGATTTAGATGTAAGATGGAGCGACTAACCAGAGGGAGACGATTTCAGTGTAACTAATTACTTCAAAAGAAATGGAAGTTGACAAATGGAGAAGAAGTATCATATCAGTATCATTCACTCAATAGTTGTATTTTTTTGGTTTCCGATGCATCGCACGAGTATATACAAACTCCAGAAAGCGGGATTTGTGCATCAAACATTGATAAGTTAACGCGGCTCACCCAACATGTAAAATGCCTTTAACCAAAGATTTTATGCTCTAATAAGAAATTGACGAACATCCCACAGACGCCGCTCCAAAGAGAAACTGAAGCTCTAGAATAGGAGCGTCGAATGCTGCCAGATGTTGGCAAAAGATTTGCAGCTCTTTTCTCTGCGTTGCATCCGCTACGGGATCTGCAAGCAATTGTTTCATGACGACTAATTATCCGATGGTGGTGATGAAGAGGTTGAACTCGAGGTCGAGAGGGGTCGTATTGGTCGGACTCCTCAAGCAACCTGACTCCAAGCAATTACTCGCTACTCGCTCCCTTTTTGCAAATCAACGTCTATGCTGCAGCGCACTGCGGGATACTGACACCGAACACATGCTCGCTCAATTGTGATACTTACAAGAGGTTCGGCTTATACATAATCATAGCAATGCGTATGGTCGTAACATGAGAGTCGGTGTCGTATGTTTGGCAACACATATTTCGCCCGTTTAAGGTACATTAAGTTTGCGAATGGTGGGGAATTTGAATAGAGAATAGGTTCAAGTCCTGATGCTGTAAATGGGTTCCAGTGGTTGTGACCAACTTCACCATCAAATAGTGGAGCGGATTTTACGCCGAAGAAGGGGATGATGAAACAACTACGGATAACAAATCTGAGAGTGTTCTTAAAGCGATGTATTTATGGTAGGACTTCTCTCAAAGAATGGTGAATGTCTGGTAGGTTGGCTACCACAATTTTATCCTCCCCTTCACTTCTTGCAACCGTGTGAATACGTCCTAAAGTAGGATATGAAGAGTCGTAGGCAAATTTTTCATCTTTAACTCGCATAAATCTTCAAAATAAACGTTGTCACAAAAGAAGCTCCAATTCCTTTCTCCGATTTCTCTAAGAAACTGAGAGTTTTTTCTTCAAGAGCAATTCACCAGCATTTCAGTACTAAGAGTTCCTAAATCATGTCATCATCGTTGTTTCCTTGCTTTCTGTAGCAAACGGCAATCAGCGTGCCATCCCTGCGGGAGCAATCACCAGCGAAAGTGACAATGCACGTTAGCACCACGATTTGTCATTTTATGTCGGCAGATTTTATTGTTACGAGATTACGCAAGCGGGAGAAGCAAGACAGATGAGATATGAATTTGCTTCCGAGAGAAGCATGTGGATCAAGCTGGTCACTTGCGAAAAATTGGACCATGAATATACGGTTCCCCTCCCATTTTTGAACTTTCAGCAATATACAATTCTATCGTCGTATTTTCGATTTGCGTAGAGCATTCGCATTTTCATACGTTGTGCCTCAAATGATAATTCAAGATAATGCGTAATCTAAATGTGTCAGGAAGCTGCAATACCGCTTGTTTCTTGGAAAAGCGAACTCCAGCGAGTTTCAAAATTCGAGTCGCGCCGTCATACTTCGGCTCAGACTGGACGATTTTTGTATACAAGGACCACTTAATCTGCTTGACGAGGCTCATACTCTATCGTACAGTAAGGATACAGTTTTGCCAGTCTATCTCACTTTTCACTAATCGTTTCAGATTCTTGTTTATTTTAGGTGACCCAGGAGGCTGACTACAACACGTAC